GCTTGAAATCTCGTCGGATATTAACCTCCTGGGGGATACGGAAGACCCGGTCCCGCAGTTTGACCTCTTGTGCTCTGCCGCCGAGAGCGAAGCTCTTCGAGACGTCTGTGACATCGATTTGATGCACGAGGTGGCCGCTATGGGCCTGAGGGTAAGTTTTCTCTTCCCTTTTGTGCTCTTTTCATCCTTGTCGACCTTGGCCTTAATCGATTTTTTTTGTTTTTCAGACGTACATGGTAGAGATTGAGAGTGCTCGTAGGGCTGACACTCGGGCCAAGATTTTTCTGACGATGTTGAGAAATATCGGCGCTACCGTAACAAGTGCCGTGAGATGCACGAGCGGCTGAGGGCAAATGCAGGTGATCGATCCCTTGGCGAGGAACTGGAGAAGAGGGATCAGGAGCTGATGCAGGCTATTCGCAGGAGTAGCGAGCTTGAGGAGCAACTTCGTGTAAAGGACGAAGAACTCGAGGTGGGCAAGGGAGTCGCCGCAGAGTGTGAGCATCTTCATTCGAGGTTGCGATCGATGCAGACTGAGTTGGATCAAAATGCCTCAGAGTCGAGGCGATGAGCGCGGAATGGATGGGAAAATTGGCCGAGCTGGAGAGGAAGGTCGCCGGACTGGAGAATATCGAGAGCGCCTGGTCAGCTGCTTTGGCGAGGGCGGCAGCTCTAGAGAACACTATCTGCGTCCTCCAATCCGAGCAGGAATTAAAAAGGGCGACGGCCACGCTAAGGGAAGCGAGACTCGAGGAGCGTATTGGTGAGATCGATCGGGAGGCGTCGACCTTGGGGTATCGGGTCGCTGCTCTTGAGGCTGAAAAGGAGAAATTGTCGGTTCAAGTCGAGTCTTCCTCCGCCGTCGCTCTCCGTCATTTGCATGAGCTCCGGGTTCATGCTGAGGCCCAACGGGACATATATAAGAGTTTGTGGGAGGCGGGCAATGTTTCTGAGGCTGCATATGAGGGAGCACGGGCGAAGGCACGAGAGGCTCGTGTTAACTACGGATATGATCCTGCAACGCCGGAGGCCGACGAGGGTGTTGATGACGGGGGACTTCGTGGAGAGGGCGATGAAGAGGGTGGCGGTGACGACGCCGAGTGAAAGAATTGTTGTTTCCATTTTTTTTTTTTGTATTTTGTCGGTTTTAGCCGTATGTAATCAGCGGCTGTTTGTGCAGCAGCTTTGTATAAAGAGGAATTTTTCATTGTCGTATGCCTCCTATTCTTTTTGCTTTTTGTAATTTTGGCGCAAACAAATAGATTTCTGTGCGCTGAATTCCTGATTCTCAGGGAATTCAATATCACACGAATTGAGTATGATTTTGACGACGGCTTTAGCTATAGGGATTGTATTTTCGAACTTATGTCGAAGCACTATCCCGTCACAGTTCGAGCGATGTCGAGCTCTTTTCTCTAACCCGTCGTGAGTCCCAGTCCTCTTTGGCGATGGATCTTGGCCTTAAGGCCATTTTTTTGAACCTTTCGAAATGTCAACCCGTCGTTCGATCGAAATCGAACTCTTCTCTTTGGCGATGGTCTTCGGCCTTAAGGGTGTTATTTCGAACTTGTCCAAATGTTAACATGTCGTCGTTCGATCAAGGTCGAACTCTTCTTTTCGGCGATGGCCCTTGGCCTTAAGGGTATTATTTTGAACTTATCAAAATGTTAACCCGTCGTTGTTCGATTGAGGTCGAACTCTTCTTTTTGGCGAAGGCCCTTGGCCTTAAAGGGTGTTATTTCGACCTTAGCAAAATGTTAATCCGTCGTCGTTCGATCGAGGTCGAACTCTTCTTTTTGGCAAAGGCCCTTGGCCTTAAAGGGTGTTATTTCGAACTTATCAAAATGTTAACCCGTCGTTGTTCGATCGAGGTCGAACTCTAAAATGTTAACCCGTTGTCGTTCGATCGAGGTCGAACTCTTCTTTTTGGCGAAGGCCCTCAGCCTTAAAGGGTGTTATTTCGAACTTATCGAAATGTTAACCCATCGTTGTTCGATCGAGGTTGAACTCTTCTTTTTGGCGATGGCCCTTGGCCTTAAGGGTGTTATTTCGATCTTGTCAAACACGTCGTTGTTCGATCAACGTCGAACTCTTCTTTTTGGCGATGGCCCTTGGCCTTAAGGGTGTTATTTCGAACTTATCAAAATATTAACCCGTCATTGTTCGATCGAGGTCGAACTCTTCTTTTTGGCGATGGCCCTTGGCCTTAAGGGTGTTATTTCGAACTTGTCGATATATTAACCCGTCGTTGCTCGATCGAGGTCAAACTCTTCTTTTTGGCGATGGCCCTCGGCCTTAAGGGTGTTATTTCGAACTCGTCAAAATATTAACCCGTCGTTGTTCGATCAAGGTCGAACTCTTCTTTTTGGCGATGGCCCTTGGCCTTAAGGGTGTTATTTCGAACTTGTCGAAATATTAACCCGTCGTTGTTCGATCGAGGTCGAACTCTTCTTTTTGGCGATGGCCCTTGGCCTTAAGGGTGTTATTTCGAACTTGTCGAAATATTAACCCGTCGTTGTTCGATCGAGGTCGAACTCTTCTTTTTGGCGATGGCCCTTGGCCTTAAGGGTGTTATTTCGAACTCGTCGAAATATTAACCCGTCGTTATTCGATCAAGGTCGAACTCTTCTTTTTGGCGATGGCCCTTGGCCTTAAGGGTGTTATTTCGAACTTATCGAAATGTTAACCCGTCGTTATTCCTAGTCTTCTGGAGAGTTTTGGGTGTCTTCTGGGGGAGTCCCAGTTTTTTGCTCAACTCGTGTGTTTCCTGGGTGAGTCCCTGTTTGCTTAATTTGTGTGTTTCCTGGGTGAATCCCAGTTTTCTTAATTTGTGTGCGTTGGGGAGTGTGATGCCGGGGAGTACTGAACGCTCATATCCTGCTAATGTTTGCTTTATGCGTGTATTGGGGCCTCCCTGTTAAACTCCCCCTGTTATTCTACCTAGAGAGCTCGCCAGTGGGCGGGGCGATAGACTGTCCTTTGAACTTTTGTGATGTCCCCCTTGCTGCCTCGTTCGAGACCTCCCCGAGAAAACCCGATTAGGAAAAACCCCCGGGTGAGGGAAAGGGAGTACGACTGTAAGGGACGTCATTTTTTGGAGGTTGACGTGTCTGAGATGGGCGATATTCAGGATATTTTGTAATAGTCATACTCTCTAGTTGGGATGCTCCTCTGCTCGCTCGCTCATGCGGCGCTTGCGTTCCTGTTTAAGCGAACAACAGAAGTTGAACCAAGATGAGGTTTTCCTTACCTCGGTCCGATGGGTCAATGAACGAGGGTAGCCTCATAGTGCTGTTCGCTCTCCCTGAAGTTTAAGTGGTTGATGGAATGGTGGTTTGTGGGTTAGGCAGCCGCGTTGGGCCTTCTTTTCTTCCTCTCTTTTTCTTTTAAACATGCCCTGGTTCTGCGTGGGTTGGGTTTTCCTTGGCTCGTTCGTGGATCATTCGGTGCGTGGGTCACCCCATAAGATGCGCCCATCCTCCTACGGGATTTGCGCAACCGCCGTCGTCTTCTTTTGCAAGTTTTGCATGGACATTGGTTGTAACTTCTGCTTCTATGCAGCATCATGCTTTGGATTAGCGCGTGAGGTTTACTTACCACTTTCTTCGGTGGATGATTATGGGTTTCGATCTGGAGGAGACTAGGAATTTTGACTAAGAAATCCCCACAGACGACGCCAAATTGTTTGACCAAAAGATATTGAAACCTTTTTGATTAAATCGATTAATGAAGATGAAGAGGTAAATCTTAGTCAAGTATAATAAACTCCATATCTATAAACAAATCAGAAAATGATGAATAAGATAAAATAGGGGCGATCAATCTTATTGATGTTTTTCATTTCTTCTCCCACCAATCCATGGAGATAATCAGTTTACATAATGTCTGGAAAATCGTTTTGTCTTCTTTCTGCTAAGAAGATTACAAAGGAGAGAAAAAAGAGAAAAAAAAACCCTTTCTAGGAAGGTTCTCTCCCTATATATAGTGATGGAGTCCTTGCTATGTTATTGGGTCAATGCTCCTTCATACCACGTCCGTTTTCGTCGTTCCCTGAGTATTGTTCTTCGACTTAGCGAGCACTGTGAGTACGTGGTTTGGAGCAAATCATGACGTCTTTCACCGTCCCGCCCCTTGGGCGGGATCCCAGTTGAATCGACCATAGCGGTCAAATTTTGACCAATACAACAGTCTGTCATTCTAAAGCAGTAAAGGGGTTCCTTTCAGCATATATATATATATATATATATATATATATATATATATATATATATATATATATATATATATATATATGAATGTGATTTGGCCTTAGAGTTTCAATATATCCTGGAAGGATAAAG